TATATATATTAATTTAACTATCTTTAAAATTAGGAAGTAGGTATTATTATTATCTCCATTTTACTGATGAGGCACAGAGAAGCTAGGTAACTCATCCAAAGTCACACAGCCAGTGACTAACAGAGCTGGGAATCAAACACAGCCTACAGATATCCTGGTTCCAGAGCCTGTACTCCAAACCCCTATACTAGCATGGCAGCTTGAGAACTGTGTTTTGGGACTCAGCTGTAAAGCCAAGGGTCTGGGCCTTAACCTGTGCATCTCATGTGCAAAAGCTCATCACGCCCTTGATGGTGCTCTCCTCGGAGCTGCTGCCGTGGTGTGGTGGGCTGCTGCCGTGGTGTGGTGGTGGGCATGGCAAGCGCTCTGGGAGATTAGAGGAGATGAGGGGCTGGAGGTGAAGCAGGGAAAGGAGAGAGCTTGAGGATGAGGGCATTGAGCTAGGACCATTTCCCAAAGCCACGGAGAGCCTGGTATATGGGCATTTCACCACCATCAAGTTGGCATGAAATGCCCACCTCCTGAACCCTCAAGTTCCCAGCTCATGGCCTTTGGGACCCCTCTATCCTCCATAACACATCCTCGTGTATGGAGCTTAGCAGGCCTGCCTTACCGGACAGCAAACACAGGTCTATGACATCAGATGAGTCTGTCCCACTTTTGGACCTGCCCCGATAGGCCCTCTGGGGGGCCTGGGTCAGTGACATACTCCTCAGGGGCAGGGCAAAGTGCTGGTAGCCCACAGCCAGCCTGCTTTTCCAGGGGCTGAAACTCTACCCCAGGACATCAACAAAAGGAGATTTCTATGAGAACTGGGGCCCCAACCCGAGGAGCCTCCGTTCAGCACTATAGCAGCCCAAACCTACCAACTGATTACGTACCACACATCTACTACAGGAGTTTCATTTTTAAAATTTTTTCTGGGCTATGTTTGACACGTCACGTGATTAGCACAACAACCCTATGATACAAGAACTAGCGGCCCCCATTTTACAGAAGAGAAGACTGAAGCAGAGGGAGGCTGTTACTCTGGCCAGGATCACCACCAGCAGGGCAGTGCTGGGGTGGGTCTCAAGGCCTGAGCATTGTCTGCCTCTGATGGACGATATTCACCCTTGCCCATAGCAAGAAACCTCACTAGGGCCAGAAACACTTCGTGTGGTCCGGGCAACCTCTCAGACTTTCTAGTCACCTCTGCTCCTTCTCTGATGTCGACAAAAGGCTCAGGTAACTCCAGAGTCCAGGGACAAATAAGAGTGGGTGTCACTCACAGAACACTTCAAAGGTGCCAGGTGCATTTGCATGTATTAGTAAATCCTCCTGACTATTCTGTAAGGTAGTGATGGACAGTCCCATCTTATAGATAAGAAAACTGAGGCTTGTCAGGCTTCCATCGTTTGCTCGTGGCTGTATAGTTGTTCAGTGGCAGAGCTGAGGTCCAGACCCAGACTTCTCTAAGACATAACTACTTTCATAATTCCCTACACACCACTGCCTGCTCCAGAGCCTGTGACCTTGACCCAAGAACCTCAAAAAAAGAAAGAAATATGTTCCCCGAGAGTGTGGCCTGAGGTCCCCTTCCAGGACCAGATTCCATTAAGGGGCAACCCCCGCCTCCTGGTGGGTGCACAGGAGGGCGGAGTGGATGTCAGGTAGTAGTCAGGGGCTGAGGCTCTGGGAGGGAAATGCAGTGTAGACAGCTGGCTAGAAGCCGGAATGTGGTAGCTCCAGAGGTTTTGATCTGCAATCTCCGTTTTGCAAGGAACGGGAATTTTTCTCTTCAAACAGCACTGGACTTCCTTGAATTTTAGACCTTTCACAAATATTTTTTTAGGAGAAAAAAGAACAAAAAAACCCCCACAAAATGCCTGTCGCAGCTACTCACTTCCACAATGAATCACGGACACAAAACCACAGCTATGTGGCTGACAAAGGAACTATGTGTTTTCACATTTTGTTATTGGAAATCATTTAGCAATCTTTACTATGTCATCCGCACTCAGACAGACAGACGGATACACACACGCCCCTCTGGGTACTAAGCAGCCAATCTTGCAGCCATGGTTGTCAGACGACTTTGCACTTAATTCATTGCTCCTTTCTAACCTTTTTCCAGGAAATTATCCCGCAAGCTTTAACGCTTCCTCGTTAGCGCCCTCTCCAGTGGGGGGTGTGTGCGTGTGTGCACGCGCGTGTACAGCCACGTGCAGACCCACGTGCCAGTGATCAGGAGAGGAATGTGAGACCCTGATGCAGTTAGTTCCACGTTAGTCCCCCAAGAGGACACAAGCACGCGTTTGGGCCCCTTTTTTATTATTGTTATCACAGTACCAGTTTGGTAAAGCGATTTTCACCTGGGAAGCTGACAGTGCCTTTTCTGACGGTGGCAAATTAATTAACTGATGGCAGATTTAAAGATTGTGTAACTGGAAAAACTACCGGGCCCATAAATCAGAAACTTCCTCTACGTCCCAGACAAGGGGTGAAACCTGATATACATATATTTGAAAACCTTGAACTCAAAAGGAGAATTCACAAGGTCCAAAAAAAATCTCCATTATTATTTCTGAGGCATGTTCTCTCATACAGCTTTCCCACCATGCCACACACACACACGCGCGCGCGCGCGCACACACACACACACACACACACACACACACACACACCCCTACGCAGAGGGTGACATTCATGGAGTACCCACAGTTCTGTGCAAAGCAACCAATGGGCCAAACATCCCTTGGGGCATCTGAAAGAGAGCATTGACTGTCTTTTCAGTCCCTTCTTGCTTCATCACTCCCTAACCTTTTCCTTTCAAACAAAAATCCTAGAGGACGTGGGTCAGTTAAATGCTCCGAGTACAGCCACAAGCTTAAAATGTTTATTGTTACTATTTTTTAAGTTGGATGCTGGAAACTGCATACATTACATTTGAATGACCCCAACAAGCCGCCTTTGTTCCCCACCCACGGCTGTGGAGAACCTACTCCAGGCTCTTGCTGGTTTCCGGTGTCCGTGGTCTTCCGAAAAGTCCCTAGATGCCTTGCCTGCCCCGGTCCCCGTGGCTCCCACACCAGGCTTGCTGCTCTGCACTTGCCTGAGCTCACCTGCTCTAGAGGCTGTCTAGCAAAATGGCGGCTGGCAAGGGCTCTGAGGTCTTGAGTAGAGCTGGGCTGGAATGGCCCTCCCCCTCAGTGTCCTCACTGTGCAGTGGGGTTAACAGGAATGTCCTCGTCGTAGTGTCACCGTGAGGACCCACTAATGTGCTGGAGATCTTCCACTCGCTCCTCTGGACCTTTCTCCACCCCACTCTGGGCCCCAGGAGGCTCCGTCACCCTCTGCCTTCCAGTCCTGTTCAGCCGAAGGGGAACCCCAGCAAGCGGGCAGGAGAGGCAGTGGAAGTATTGATCCTCCCAGCTCCCTCTTGACGGGCACCATGGGGCAGCAGCGGTGTGTTCCTCTAACAGAGGCCACAGCCCTGTCATGGCCTTCTCCTGTGGCCGAAGCTACTCTGGTTCCAGTAACCGCTGGCCCCTGGCCCCTTTGGACTTCCCTACACAGCCACCCCCGGGATATCCCATCCCTTTTATTACTTCCTCTAACCCTGTCCGTGCCTTTGCAGATAGACCCTTTATCAAACTGAGCTCATCGAGGGCGCCATCTGTTTCCCGTTGGAACTCTGATTGATACGGATAAAGAGTATCAGCTGTTGAGTATTGAACACTTAGCCTTGTGACTCAGCACTTTACCCACTTCTATTTTATTCTCACCACAGGCCTGGGCAGCCAGGGTTAGCATCATCCTTTTACACTGAGACGCAGGGAGGGGAAGGAATGCACAGCATCAAATGGCTGTGAGCAAAAGAATCAGATGAAACAGAGGTCTGACTCATGACCCACGCTCTTAACCACTACGTCATATGGTCCCCGTTATTAGGTGGTGCCTGTTGAGTCCTTTGCACAGTAGGGCCAGCTCACTCAATAAGGCTCCACAAACGGTAGGTTAAAATAACCACCATACCACACGCAAAAAGAGCCCCACAATCCTAAATTCAACTCTAGCACAGCTCTAACCCAGCCCTAGCCACAACCCTAAGGTTAAAATCTCACTGTAACACCACACTAAAGTTACCCTCTCATCTCACCCGACCACCACCCTATTGTGAAATACAGTGTCACCCTCATCACATCCCTCGTCCCACCCAATCCTAACCCAAGCATTCACCACTGTAACCACAATCCTAGACGCCCCATCAGGGTCAGACTAGGGTCAGGGCAGGGGCGAGCACTGGGAGGTCTCCCTGACCCTCTGCTTGCTCCTGGGAGATTGTCCCCATCCCACCGACAGGTGCCGTCCTGTCACCTCACTCCACTTATACCCCACTAAGTAGACTCCACGTGATTGGCCAAAAGACATTTGTGCAACATTTGCTTCCCGCATGTCACCGAGCTGGTGGCTTTGGTGTGGGGAGGGCAAGGAGAGGAAAGAGGAGGGTAGGAAATCTAGCACAGCAGGGCACCATAATGCTGTCGATGGTGGTGCGGAAGAAGGAGCGTGGAGGAGGAGGAAGTTCCCGAGCTTTCTCTATCGCTTTGCTGCAGGCTGTGGGCAGATCGGAGGTGACGAGCTCCTAGCTCAGAGAATTTTCGAGGGCTAGCGCCTGGGCTGGGCTGGAGTTCCTCTCTGTAATCACACCTAGCGAGGTTCTGATAATCCCGGAAAAGGAAGAGATTCCTGGAAAAGGGAGACACGCAGTCTTCACCAGAGATTTGGGGGCTGCCTCAGGCCAGATGTTCGCCTTCAGGCTTAACTAGGAGAGAAAGGAAGGCAAGAGAAAGGGCGCAGGAAGCAGACATCATTTTCCTGGAGCCTGCCCACTTGTCCTACGTGGGGAGCAGGAGAGGTATTAGAATGTGCTGGGCTCCCTTCTCCTCTGAGCACTCAGAGGCCTGAGCTTGGCGTCTCCACCAACCCAGAGGTGTCTGCACTGGGCTGAATATTCCTTCTTCGTGATCTCTGTTGGGACCACCAGGCCTAGAGGCAAAGCATAGCCAGAATGCATGTCTCGGGCTGCATCTGCCCAGAGTCTGTATCTTTTTGTTATTCATGCACGGCTAGCCAAGACCCCGCCCAGGCCCTGAGCTCTCTGGGTCCCAGGTACGTGTGTGGGTCAAGGAGGTGCAAATTAACACTCTAAATGGCCCCAGGGGTCCACCCCAACGTTACCATTTCAGAGAAATCTAGAAGGGACCTCAGCAGCCATGCCCAGTTATAGAGCACTGCTTTGAAGTAACATACTTTGTGGGGGAACTGCGAAACATCTCTCTCCTGAGAAGAAGCCAGGTTCGGGGTCACTGCACACAGCTGCACAGGTTGTGCACTGCACAATTCTTGGAGTGCCTATCATAGAGACTGTGAGGTGACGGACATCTCCTGTTGTATCCAGTTACGGAAATGTCCAGCACAGGATAGCCTGTCTCACTCCTCTCCCTGGTGGGAATGGAGCGCTTCAGACCTAGCCATTACCGCCAAGCAGTCTGCTGGGCAGTGCCGAGGGACCCTGCAGAAAAATCTTAATGTGGCCCATCTACACTTGTAGAATCCCCTACAAGCGGCAGGGAGAGGGGCGTGGGCAGTAAAGGAAGCGCTTGGCTGAGACACAGATTTTTTTTCTGCTCTCCCCAAAAAGCAGCAGCAGGGCTTCTGGGATTTCAGACTTGGGAAAATAATACCCTCTCCGTTTGTTCTGGCTGGAGGCCCACAGTGAGCATCTCCCTCTGAGCCCTCTCTCTTCCAAACCCACAAGTCCAGGGAGAGGGGGTGGTTCATGGGGCTCATTTAAGGCCCAAGAGGCAGAAGAAGCTGGAAGAACAGCCCCTTCACAGCTGCCACAGTCCTGTACCAGCCTCCTCAGAGTCTGCTAAGTCCGGCTCTGCCCCAACCTAGTCACCATTAGGAGAGAAGCATTGCCCTAGGCCCACCTTGGCTCCAGAGCCTCCAGGCCACGGGGCAGAGACAGGGCAGGTTCCCACCTGCTGGGAGGACTGGGAGATCCCCTTCCTGATCAATGACATGCTAGGGGATGGGCTGAGTGTCAGCTCAGAAGGGAACGGACGCAAGACCATCTTTCTTTGCTCCAGATAGCAAGAGGGGATGCATTGCAATAGGGGTGTTCATTCAGTAGCTATTTATTTATTGGGGGCTTACTATATACCAAGCACTGCTCTAGGATATCGGGATATGTCAGTGAACAAAGCAAGATCCTTGCCCTTGAGAAGCTCACATTGCAGCTGGGAAGAAACAGACGATAAATAATAACATAACAAATAATTAACTTAGAAAATAGAAAATAAAAAGTACTATGAAAATAAAAAGTAAATAAGATGAGAAGAGTCTCAGATTGGGGGTTTACAATATTAGGTGATAGGGAGCTAGGAGATGTCTCCCTCCCAGAAGAAACCGGGTCCAGGATTGCCACATACAGCTGCACGGGCTGTGCACTGCACAACTGTTGGGGAACCCGTCAGAGACACTGTGCTCTGTGCCGTGAAGTACATCTCCTGGTTTGTATCCAGTGGCTAAGGTTAACCCTAAGGTGAAATCCTTAGTGGTCAGGAAGGGCCTCAATGAGGAGCTTCTCCTGAAAAGTAACCCATGCACAAATAGGAGACATAAGAAAATACCCCAGCTCACTGTCAAGACTGGTAGTTAACAACATTAACCAGCATTTGCAAAAAGCATTACGGTTCACAGCGCAATCTTTTGCCCGCAATGTTCTTGTGAATCCTGACAACATCCCAGTGAGGAAAGAATTATTTGTTCCTATTTTGCAGATAGAGACAATAAGTCTTAGTGAAGTTAAGTGGCTAGCCCAAGCCACAAAGCTACTTAGTGTCCTCGCCAGAAAGAAAATTGGGTCTCCTGCTTCTAAGTCCTTTCAAAATAGTGTATCCAAGGTCCTCAGGGTTGGGGAAGTCCAGAAAAACCCCAGGGGGCAAGCTTGGGGCTCAATGTTAGAAAAACAAATCAGAAAAAAATAAGGCTAAAAAAAAAAAAAAAAAGAAAAGGAAAGATGACACTCAGTCCCCAGAGATCTCAAAAGCCTGACTCAGACAGGATTGTAGGGTTGAGTTAACCTAACAGGTCTGCCACTGCATGGCTGTGAGGACGCGGTGACACAGCATGAAAGATGCAGGCTGCTTAACCCCACTGCAGCCTTGCCAAGGAGAACTTGAGGCCAGAATGTCACGGACAGCTAAGGTCTGCCCCAGGGAAGGCATCATGTGTCCTTGTCACGATCTTGGAAATAGGTAAAAGGGGAGTAAGCACATTTCACCATCTGGGACAGGAAATGACCAAGCTGGAGGCCAGAATCTGAGACCGTTAGCTCGACCTCAGAGAAGACCCACTCTATGTCTCTGATTTACAAATGTGGAAACTGAGTCCCCGGAGGGCAAAGGAGTTTTCCAAGGCCTTCTAGCATGAGTCAGTCCCTCATCATGTCCCAGGGGAATTGGAGAATGGTCTTGGGTCCAAGGGGCCTTGAATGAGGGAGGAGGGAGGGCAGAGGGTCGTGTCGCCCAAAGGAGCCAGCAGAGGGCATGTGACAGCTTGTCAGAGCCCAGAGCAGAGGAGGGGAGTGGGTGGGAGGTGGCTGGAGCAGCAGGCAGGCTCAGGGGACCCTGGCAAGCCTTCAGAGTGGCCCAGAGTCAGGATCTCCTGGGTTCCCAGAACAGACCCCTAACCCAGCTGCCAAGCTTTGTCGTGCCTCAGTTTCCCTATCTGTAAGTCTAGACAGTGGGGTGGAGGGAAGCCCATCCTGGCAAATGGGATGTGTCACACTGATTTGTCATAGATAAGGTTATTTATTGGACCTCCCGTGTGCCAGGCACCCCACCGATCCCTCCACATACATTATTTCAATGGATTTTCTCAACACTCCTATGAGATGGGCATCAGTTTTCCCATTTCAGAGCCAAAGAAACTGAGCTGCAGTGAAGTAAAGTGACTTGGATAACTAGTTTGTGAGGGCACCAGGGTTTAAATTCGGCCTGGCTCCAAAACCCAGCACTCCCCCGAGACACACGTTGGCTGCTTCCTCGCACCTGCTCGGCTCCTTCCGTTCCCAGCTGCCCTCACCCCAGCTACCTAGTTTCTGGTTCTGGGTCATCGGTCTCCTCTTTGCCGTTCTGTCAGGCAGCGGGTGCTGCCTTTGCCCCCAGGCAGGGAGCCCGGGTCTCCCCTGTGGTGGCTCTTGGTGCAGTGATCTACTTGGGCAGAGAGCACCCTTTGGGAGCTGAGACCCTGCACCCACCAGAGGAGGCCCAGGCAAGGCCTGGGAGTGAAGGGGGAAGCACTCCCATGGGAAGCCTGTGGGTGCAGTCTCAGCACCAGCAGGTTAAAGGTCACAGGTCAGGAAGTGCCAAAGGGGGCCCAGGTAGAGAGGTGGGGGCTGAACAATTCGAGGGTCCTGCCCTGAGGAGGCGAGTCCTATAACCAACCAAATGCACCCACACGTGCTCAGTGGCCTGGTTCTCACCGCTGAGGCTGGGCCTTCAGCAGGGGCTGGCTGGTACCTGCCCTTCCTCCCTCTCCTGCAGGCAGAAGCCCGGAGAGGCCCGGCACAGGCCCGCATCTCAGGCCAGGCTGGGGGAGTGCGGACCAGTGACCTCACCTCTCTGAGCTTCGTCAACAGAACGGCACAGAGCTGTGACGGGTACATGAGATGACTGGGTGGAGACCCAAGCCTGTCCCTCAGCACGTGTTCACCTATCCCCATTCTGGGCCAGTTGTGTTCGGGTGCTGGAGGTGTGGCAGCAAGAACGCAGATAAAGCCCCCTGCCCTCCTGGACCTGGCCTTTTTACCGGGATAAGAAAAACAATAAGCCAAACAAATAAGTAAAACACAGAAGACATTAGTGCAGTGGAACAAAATCTCTGGGGTTGGGGTAGGGAGGGAGGGTTAGGGAGTGTGCAGGTTTAAATCAGGTGAACAGAGGACCCCACTGAGAAGAGAAGGGCTGAAGGGGGAGGAAGTGAGCCATGTGAGGATCTAGAAAGAGTGTTTGATGTGGTTTGAATTGTACCCCTCACCAAATGTGCTGAAGTCCTAACCCTCATCCTATAATTGTGACCTTATTTGGAGATGGGGTCTGTGCAGACATAATCAGTTAGGTTTAGATGAGATTATACTGGATTAGGGCGCACCCTAAATTCAATGACTGGTGTCCTTATAAGAAGGACACCACACACACACACACACACACACACACACACACACACACACACACACAGAGATCAGGCCATGTGATAACAGAGGCAGAAATTAGTATGAGGCAGCTATAAGCCAAGGGACCCCAAGGATTGACGGGAGCCACCAGATGCTAGAAGAGAGGCATGGAACAGATTCTCTCTCAGAAGGAACAACCCTACTGACATCTTGACTTTGGATTTCTGCCCTCTTGAACTGGAAGAGAATAAATTTCTGTTTTTTTAAGCCAATGTTTGTAGTAATTTGTTATGGCCACTCTAGGAAATATTAACATGGTATCCCTAGGGGGTGAGGGGATAGCAAGTGCAAAGGCCCTGAGGTAGGTGCACCTCTGGCATATTTGAGGAAGCACCAGTTGGCCAATGCGACAGAAGCAGAGTGAACGAGAGTAATGGATGGTCAAACCTGACATCAGAGATGTCAGAAAGGTTTTGGGGGCCAAATCAGGTAGGGCTGCCCTGTGGCAAGCCCTTGAAAAGGGGAGTTGTTGCACTTCAGATGGAGGGTCCCAGCTGGAATGGGCTGCGGTGGGTGGGTTTGGTTGGCCCCCATGATCTTTGTCCCGTAGTGTTACACTTTTGAATACGTTACATTAAATGACAAAAGGAACGACACCCATATAACACTGTACGTTAACCACACTGGAATTAAAATTAAAAAAAAAAAAAAAAAACTAAATGGCAAAGAGAAATCATGGTAGCAGATGGAATTAAGGTTGCTAATCAGCTGACAAAACAGCTGGATTACCCAGGGGGGCCCAGTGTTTAAACGTGGAGGAAGGTAGCAGACAAATCAGTGAGAAAGAGTCAGCCAGAGAGGGAGGTAGAGGGGCGATTCAAAACTTGAAGAGTTCACGTGCCATTGCTGGTTTGTAAGATAGGAAGGTGGCCACAAGCCAAAGAGTGTAAATGGCTTCTATATGCTAAAAACGGCCCTCAAGTGACAGACAGCAAGAAACAGAGACTTCAGTCCCACAACTGCAAGGAACTAAATTCTGCCAACAACCCGAATGAGCAAGGAAATGGATTTTCCCCTAGGGCCTCCAGGAACTGAGCCCGCTGACACCTTGACTTTAGCCTGGTGAGACCGGAGTCAGATGTTTGACTTATAGAGCTGTAGGATAACGCATCTGCATTGTGTTAAGCTGCTGGCTTGTGACAATCTGTTATGGCAGCCGTAAGAAACTAACACGGTGGATTAAGACGTGGGGTGTGTGGACAGGAGATCCAGGAGAGAGAGACAGAGAGACAGAGAGAGACCGGGTTAGTAAAAAGAAGGCGAACTCTGGCTGCCTTCTGGGGGAGCAGCCAACGGACAGCCACTACCATGGGGCCCACAGCTTCCCAGACCTCTCCCCCCCACCCCCGCTTAGCACTGTCCTCCAGGCCTGTTGTTGCCCAAGGAGTGAGCAAGACTGCTTAAAAATGTCCCCAGAGCCCAGCTTCTAGGTCCTTGGGTCAGGCTAAGGAGCAAACCCAATGGAGGTGCCTCCCATTCTGAGAAATGTGACACCTCGCTCAGCCCCCCTCTCCCATAGGGCTCCCCTCCTTACCATAAGGACGGTCCTGGTGGAAGAAACAAGCCAGCCAAACCCACTATGGGTGCTGCTGTGGGATCTGCTGGTCCCGGCTCCTCTGAGGCTGGCCTGGGCCTCTGGCTGCTCCCCAGAGCAGGTCTATGCACACATGCATGCACCCCACGTTTTGTCTGCTCTTTGCCACCCACGTCCCCACAGCAGAAAGAACCAGCCTGCTGATGGCTAACCTACACTGAGGACTAACTCTCAGGCACTCTACTAAGTGCTCTGCATACACGGTCTTATTTCGTCCTTTCTGCAATCCTATCAGGTGGGGACTATTGACTCAGATTACTTAGGATTCTTGCCTAATGTCACACAGCTGGTGAGTCGTAAATCCAGAATTGGACCCCCCGGGTTGTCTGAGCCCAAAGCCCAGGCCGGACCCTCACTATTCAAGGTGTGGTCCATGGACCAGCGGCATCAGCATCACCTGAGGCCACGTTAGCGATGCTTTCCCCAGACCTGCAGCATCAGCAGCTGCATGTTAACAACGTTCCCGTTGCAGCCTGAGAAGCGTGGATGTAAAGCGCTCTTCCATGGCTGGCTGGTCTGTCCCAGGTGGTTGTAACCACCCCTGCCCCACCTCTTCAGGCCTGTCCCCAGCTGCCTGGCTCCTGCTCCCCAGGTGGGGCAGGCCCTCTGACCAGCCTTGGGGAAGGTCTCGGACCCGGGTCTTGGAGGGAGTCTCTGGGCCCCTGCAGCCGGCCCAGGCCACAGCTGGACGACCTCCATCCACGTCTGCCTCTGCATAGGACGAGCTGCTGCTGCTGCTGCCCTAGACGCTCCTGGCCCCTCCCTTTCGACTTCCTTCGGGAACACACGTCTCTTGGCCTCTGTCTGGTGTTTTCCTGAAGGGGGTTTCCCGGACATCACCAATCCTTGCAGTGTCTCCCCTCCCCAGATATTTTGGGCCCCCCTCTCACTTCTAGAGTGCCCCCTGCTTCATGCCAGTCCCTCTATCTGGACACCAAGGGCCTGTGCAAGTTGCCATCAGGAAAGAGGCCAAAGGCTGCTTGGGGAACCTAGCCAAGCTCACAGGAAATGTCTGACACCACCAGGCAAGCGGGATTTGGCCTCTCAAAGCAAAACACAGCTGGGCC